AAATGGTGCTGTGAATCAAAGTGGTAAAGCTAACTAGCTTTGAGCTAACAGTGCTCAAGCCCTATGTTCAAGCCCCACGACTGACAACAACAACAACAAAAAACCCACAAGGCAAAAACATACATTATTAACACATTAAATTTTTTAAAAAATTGTTTTTAAATAGAAAAAGATGCTATAATGAATTGTAAAGCTAAAAAGGAGGTAAAACTACATACAAATCAAGATGAATAACTGGACAGGATGCTAGTAGCTCACTAATTCTAGCTCCTTGGAGGCTGATATCTTAGGATCAAGGTTCAAAGCCAGCCTGGGGAAGGAAAATTCCTGAGATTCCAATAAACTTCCAAAAAAGCAGCAGAGCACTAGCCTTGAGTAAAAAAGGCTCAGGGATAGTGCCCAGGCTCTGATTTGAAGCCCTAAGACCAGCACACACATGCACACACATACAAACAAAAAGATAAATGGCTAGGTACAGTAGTGGTTCATGTCTGCAATCCCAGCACTCCAAAAACAGGCAGGAGAAACTTGAGTTCAAGACTAGGCAAGACCTATCTCAAAACACACACACACACACACACACACACACACAAAACAAAGTAAAATATAGTAACAATAAAAAGTGAGCAAAGGATTTGGGTGGCCCTCCTTTTTTTTTGCCAGTCCTGGGGCTTGAACTCTGGGCCTGGGTGCCATCTATGAACTTCTCTTACTCAAGGTTAGCACTCTACCACTTGAGCCACTATACCATTTCTGGCTTTTTTGAGTGGTTTATTGGAGACAAGAGTATCATGGACTTTTCTGCCCAGGCTAGCTTCAAACCACGAGCTAGTATTACAGGCATGAACTGGCTGGGCAGGCAATTTTTAAAAGAGGAACTCTAAATAATCAATAAGTAATAAAGTCATGAAGAGATATGCAAGTATGCAAAATAAAACAATAAAATGTCACTTCCCATCCTGTACATTGGCCATGATTTTAAATCTTAATTATATTCACAGCCCTCAAGGACTCAGGTAAATGAGTTTCACTGAGGTGAGCATAAATGACCAGAACATTTGTAATCCTAGTTACTCAGGAGGCTGAGATCTGAGAATAGCAGTTCAAAGCCAGCCCAGGCATGGAAAGTCCATGAGACTCTTATTTCTCATTAACCACCAGAAAATTGGAAGTGGTGCTGAGGCTCAAGTGGTTGAGAACTTGTTTTGAGCTGAAGAACTCAGGGACAGCGCCCAGGCCCAGTGTTCAAACCCTACGACCAAAAAAAAAAAAAAAAAAGACTTTGGCAGTGTCTCTTGAAATTTAAAATACAGAACCTCACTTTTGGAAACCCAGCCACAGATGAAAAGCTCTGGCTGGCAGATTCCAGATGCAAAGACATTTAGTATTGCTCACAGTGGGAAAAGTTGGAGCCAACCAGAGTGTCAGTTCTCAGGTGAATAATGAAATCACTATTCACTATGCTGTGGGGTTTTATTCAGCCATTAAAACGAATGAAAGGAAATCTATATCTAGTGGCCTGGAGAGATGCCCACGATACTCTTTTAAAAACAACAGAAAATTGCAGGAGTCAGGCGTAAGAGCCTATCTATTTTTTTGTCATTAAACAAAAGCAAAATGAAAAATGTAAATACCTCCATTAAGTTTATGTTTGTGGGAACGGTGTGAAAGGGATTTCATATGTGGCTGAATTGTTTAACTTGTAATCTCATGTAAGTAAAACTTAACCGAGCCATGGCTTAAGTGGTAGAGGGGCTTGCCTAGCAGGCTTGAGGCTGATGAATTCAATCTCCAGTATCTCCAGAAAAGAAATTAACAAAGAAAATTTAAAGTAGGAAGCAAAGGAGCCCAACTTCTGAAACATCAATACATTCACTTGATTGCTCTGTCGATTGGAAAGCTTATGGCTTGTAGCTATTGATTACTATTCTTTTTTCAACAGGGCATGGAGGGGGCTAGGATAAGGGGTGCAAGAACTGGGGTACAGGGAGAGAAGTGTAGGCTAAGAGTGCAAGCTGGTGCTAGGCTCAGCTCTGTGCCTATGGGAGGGACTGCAGGGCAGGAGGAAGGTGCTGGCCAAGAGTCCTCAGAGGCAAGGGGCAGGAAGGAGAGCCACCTCATGAGAGCAGGTGGTTTAGTAACAGCCTTCAGGTACTTCCTGGGTGGTCTAGCAGATCCTGGGTCTAAACCCAACCAAAACCCTTCCATTCACAGGCTTCTTTCTAATCCCTAGGAGCCCTTGAGTGGATCAGTCATTTGTCCAGTAGCTGATAAGCATCTAGGCTGAGTTGTCCCCCTGTTATATGCTGAGGATGGTCAAGTCTAAGACACAAATAGCCATGCTCACATGGGGCTTCCAGGATTGTGGGGTGGGGGGTGAGGGGGAGGTATGCCAGGCTGCCTCTAAATACAGATCACTCTGTTCCCATCTGAGCTTAGCCTGGGCTAGATCAACTGCACTGTAAGGACACTAAGAACATTTTTGTCTGCCCAGTCTCCCACAGGCCTTGGGGATACAATCCTTTTAGTACATGGCCAGACTTAGGGCAGAGGGGAACCAGCCTCAACCAGAAAGCACAAACCCTAGCCAGGCATGGTGTACAGACCTGTAATCTCAGCACTTAGGAGGCTGAGGCAGGAAGATATTGAGTTTGAGGACAACCTGGGCTATATAGCAAGACTTTGTCTTGGGGGAAAAAAAAAGGCTGAAGATGTGCTCAGTGGTTAGAGCACCTGCCTAGCATGTACAAGGCCCTAACTTTGATTTCCAGCATTGCAAGATAGAAAGACAGAAGAAAGAAGAGACCCTGGCTCTGGCACAGGTGGACCAAGAAGGGCACAGAAATTACCTGGAAGTAGGCTTGGGCAATTCTGGAGTAGCTGGAGTAGTCTTTCTATGGCTCTCCACTCCCCTCCCCCCCCAGACCCACGTGGCACTGTGGTATCGTGGGTGGTAAATCTGCATTCCTCCCTGTCTCCTCTGCCTTAGCCATCAGTTCTTCTCCCTCCTTCCATCCAATTCAGTCTTGCCCACCCCCGCCAACTCCTCTGTGTGGGTGCAGATGCCCCCTGTGCAGCCACAACCAGCCTGGCTGCCAACCCACCCTGTCACACTGCCTGTGGGTTGGCATGTGTCAGGTCATCTGGGAATCACAAGGCTTCCACAGGCCTAGCACAGAGAAGCATAGGGACTTGGGCCTGAAGCTTAAAGGGAGAACAAATGCTCATGGATGAGCCTCCACACTGACTGGCCCGGCCTTGGTGCAAACTCAGTTCATGCAACATGCCAGTTCCAACAAGTGTGTGGGGTCACTGGCTCCTTAACTCATGTAATTAAAAGGTCATCTGTGTGTGTATGTGGCTGAGGAAGCATGGGCTTGCCTCCTACTGAGAGCATATGTGTGTGTGTGTGTTGAGTATGCATGAACATGAGCGTATGGATCTATGGGAGCATGTATGAACATGTGTTTGTCCATGTGTGTGTATGTGAGTGTATCATCTCTCTATATATGTCTCTGTGAGTGTGTGTAAAGATAGATAATGTTTGTATCTATGAGTATGAATGACCATGTGTGTATCTATGAGTGTGTGTGTGAATCTGTGTTGACAGGGTAGTGAACGTGATGACCCCTGGGCTGGGCACTTAGGGCACAGCTTTTCCTTTTCAACTGGCTCAAAGCAACATTACTGCGAGTGCCACTGCCTTTTGTCCCTGCCCTTCCCTCTGTCTGTCCATCTGTCCAAGGGACAAGGATAAGCCCTCATGGTTGGTGGGAGGGAGTGCAGGCTTTGAGGATGGAGAAGAGACAGGATGGAAGATGGCTGCTTCTCAGAGCTGGCCAGCCATGGAGGGCTCAGGACAATGTCTGAGCAGGCTGCTCCTTCTGTCTTCCACAGGGACGCCCCCTGCAGTCTGCCCTGTGATCCTCACAAATGCTCGTCTGCAGTAAGTCCGGGAAGGTGAACCTTGGCCGTCAAAAATGCAAAAAACAATCAGGAAGGACAGGCTGCTGTGCCAACACCTGGAGAGGGCACACTCACCGCATGGCAAGCCACAACTCCATCAGGAAGGGCCTTCAAGGGTTTACTGACAACCTTCAAATGTTGACTATAAACAAAAGTTAGTCTTGCAGTAAGAAAGAAAACATCTCAAATGATATAAAAACAGCCAGACATCAGACATCACCTAAGATGTTGGAAAGCTCTTAAGAAACAGCTGACTGGACTTATCACCTGGGTACCAACCTCCATATAAGCTATTGTGTCTAGTTAGTACCTCTTGGAGCCCCCTCCACCTCTGGTCTCCCTTAGGACCCTAAGGCTGACGTCTTAGGCCAAAGCATGAGCACCTCTGAGCAGGAGGACAAAGGCCTGCCTTTAGACCCCAGCCCTGCTACGCATTCGCCAAGCCATATCCTCTTCTTCTCTGGGCTTTAGGTTATGCATCTGTAAAATGGGGCTATTAAACGCTGGTCCCATCTACCTGTCTACCCCTGAGCCTGCTGTACATCCAGGAACTTCAAAAACCATAGATATGGACACACTGGGAGAGCTGGGAGAGAGGCCTCTATTCCACCAGGGACCATCACAGTGGGCCACCTTCCCTCTGTGCAGCCATTACAGACACCAAGGGTGCTGAACACAAACGTTCCCTGCTTGTAGGGACCAGGCAGGGTCAAGAATCGTCTCTTTCTGAGACACAAAACAAAGGGGAGAGGTGACATAGACCTGCCTGGGAAGGATGTTTGTAGACCTCGAAAATGTGTCACAGATATGCCATGCCATTCCATAGGGCAGCTGAAGATGTTCACACCCCCAAATTAATGCTTGTTTGGGAAACTGCCCGCCCCCCAAGGAAGAAGTGCTGAGTTGGACACTGGGAGGGACAAAGCCCAACCCGAGCCCTCTGGCCAGTGTGGTGGGTACTAATCTGGCACCCACATTCTCTCACTGGAAGAAGGCCTGAACATCAGGGACCATTTGAGGTACAGGAGTCTTACCTCTCCCTCGAGCCCATGTGTAGATGCGGCTGACCTCAGGGCTTCGGGGCTTGGGCTCTGGAGGCTCCACAGGCAAAGGTCGGAAGTGGGGGTCATCTGCTCGTCCAGGTGTCTTCAGGGGCAAGATATACTTGGGGAGCCCTTTGTAGAACCAGGCCCCCGACCTTTTCCAGACCTGGGAGTGGGAGAGGTATGTGCTTAGAGCACAAGGTGATTCATTCCAGCTGTATTAGCATGGTGTACGAGGCAGTTGATACCCCCTTCCCCCACCTCAACATCCTGTCCCGCCTACCAGTGATGGGGACTGGAGGACCAAGAACGAGGACAATACAAAGGGAATCCCAGCTCTGCCCTCCCTGGTCTATGAGCTGGGGCAGACCCAGGACAAGAGATAACCAATGCCACAATCTCTCTACACCAAAAGCCAAGCCCACATTCTCTCACTACCATTGCTAAATAGGCACCAGAGAATGCTTATGACATCTGTCACCTGGTGCTAGTGGCTCATGCCTGTAATTTTCACTATTCAGGAGGCTACAATCTGAGGATTATGGTTCAAAGCCAGTCTGGGTAGGAGAGTCCATAAGACTTATCTCCAATTAACTACCAAAAAGCCAGAAATGGAGCTGTGGCTCAAATGGTAGAGTGCTAGTCTTTTTTATTTATTTATTTTTCTTATGTGTGCTGGGGAATCGAACCTAGGGCCTCATGCATGCAAGGCAAGCGCTCTACCACTGAGCCACCTTCCCAGCCCCTAGAGTGCTAGTCTTGAGAGTGAGTGTTCCTTGAAAAGAAAGGGTTCAAGCCCAGTAGTGTCAGACACAAGGAAGGAGGAGAAGGAGAAGGAGAAAAAGAGGAAGAGGAGGAAGAGGAGGAAGAAGAGGAAGAAGAGGAAGAAGAGGAAGAAGAGGAAGAAGAAGAAGAAGAAGAAGAAGAAGAGGAAGAAGAAGAGGAGGAGGAGGAAGGGGGGAGGAGGAGGCAGGGGGGAGGAAGAGGAGGGGGAACAGCAGCAGCAACAACAACTGTCTATTGCTTCCATCTCTCTAGCTCTCAGAATCCTGCAGATGACCCAGTCAGCACCCTGCCTGGTCCAATTCTTTCCCACCTCTGCTGGGAGAGACAGGCAGGTGCCCAGAGGCCCATGAACGTAAAACACTTCCTGGACTCCATGCCACCAACTGCTCCACCTGAGCTTTCTCTCCCTAAGGTGAGGCTGAGTCTCACAGGACGTTCCCAGCTGCAAGAGGCCACAGGTGGCTCATCCATCACTTACCAGTCCCTGCCATGCTCAGACCCTGGCTTCTCAAGGAGAATATAGCTCCCTCTGGCTTGTGTATGTCACTGCCCTTCATGACAGAGGTTCAGAAGTAGCCATAAAACTCCAGGTTTTATCTGCCTGTTCCCAGGGCACAGGCACCAACATCTCCCTCTTTTCTGCCTTAGGATCTGAGTTTCCCAAGAACCCCCTCTGGTGACATTCAGAACCAGAGCAAGCAGCATGCTTGCTCTGTGGCTCTAGATGAGTAACTTAACCTCTCTGAGCCTGAGTTTCTTCACTGATGGAATGTATTAACAGTGCTTGCCCAAAAAGGCTGTTGAGAAAGTTGGAAGAGTGCTTAGCACAGCACCCACCAAATGCTTTCCTCCATCCTTCCCCTGGAAGCTCTGGGCAGAGTGACATGAAGCTTAAGGAAAAGCCAGGCCAGGCTACCTCCCCCCCCGCCCCCCGCCTTGGAAAAGAGTGGAATCTCAGAGAGCCTCTGATTAGAATTCAGAGCAGCCACCGAGATAAGGCCCATAAACTCTTAATGCGTACTTCAGAGAGCACCGGGTGCTCTGTAATCTCTTTCCCAGAGAAGGGGATGTGTTGAGGGTATTGAGTAAGGCGGCTGGGAGGTGGGGAGCACCGATGTCACCCTGTCAGCCGGAGCAGGCCTTGGTAGTTCTGAGCAGACATCCTGAGTTTGGATCCTGGTCTGTCACCCAGCCACTGTGTGAGTTGAATACATTCAGCCTCCCTGACCCTGTTTTCCCCGGCAGTCAGTAGAATGTAGGACAACGCTGACCTCACAGGAAAGCCACAACACTTAGACCCACAGATGGACGTCAAGTCCTATGGCCCCACAGTGGGCATGTAGCAGCCATCCTACAGAGGTGGCCCCCAATCACGTTCATTCATCCATTCAGGAAGCACTGAGTTAGACAAGTTGTTATGGTAGGACTTGTCAGAGCCTTTAATGAGCACGGGTTCTCTAACAAGGTGACAGAACACACTAGGCTTCCTACTTGGACTCTACTTGTTTTCTGGGCCTTTCCTGTTCTTGTTGCAGAAACTCAACCCTAGTAACAAGTTTGCATAAACCCAGCACTAATTATACAGTGCTCGCTATATAGCACTAACTTGCTGACAGATGTGCAGTGAGCGCTCAGGTATGCAAGGGTCACCTCTATGTTCTAGAATCCAGATGTGAGATTACCAGGCCCCAGAGTGAACCACACCTTGATCTTCCCTGTGATTCTATGTATGGGACTTGACTTTGTGTGATTTTTTGTTTTGTTTTGTTTTGTTTGCTGGTCCTGGGCTTGAACTCAAGGCCTGGACACTGTCCCTGAGCTTTTGTGCTCAAGGCTAGCACTCTACCACTTGAGCACAGTACCACTTCTGACCTTTTGTGGTTCACTGGAGATAAGAGTCTCACTGACATTCTTGCTCGGACAGGCTTTGAACGGTGATCCTCAGATCTCAGCCTCCTGAATAGCTAGGATTTCAGACGTGAGCCACCAGTGCCTGGCAGAGCCACTGGTGCCCAGATGATTTTTTTTTTTTTTTGCGGGTCGTGGGGCTTGAACTCTGGGCCTGGGCGCTGTCCCTTAGCTCT